GTCTATGAGGTTTTCCAAGAGACATCCATAAAGTCCCATAGACTATCTGGATTGGTCTCTTTGCTGCAGTAGTTGGACCACTAGGTGTCACTGTATGCCCAGGATTGCCACTGATGCCCTGCACAGGTCAGACTCTTACAGTGTTCCTTGGGCCAGAGCATAGGGAAACCACCAAGATCTGCACTTCTTTTGCTGTGAGCTCTCCTCTTTTTTTTTTTTTTTGTTTACAGTTGCTACAGTTAATCCAGTTCTGCAAGTGCTCCCAGTGTTTTCTATGAGGCAAGACAGGCACCTGCCTCTTGTGAAGGGCCCCAGAATGGCAATGAAGTTGAATGTCCACCTCCACCTCACATTTTCCACTGTAGAAACCCTTATGCATAGGGGCATGAGCTGTGTGTGGTGTCGTGCCAGCTGAGGGAGGGGCAGAATGATAAATTCAAACCGTTTATCTTACTGTTTGAATTCTGCTTTTATTGATTCAGAAGTTTGTCTCAGGTCACTCCCAAGTTTTTGGGACATCCAGGGTAATGTTCTTGTCTGTGGATATTTGCTAGGGTGAATTTGTATGGGAGGAGCAGGATGAAGCTGAAGAACTTCTATCTGGCTGACTTCCTGATGTCACCCACACTAATTATCTTTGAGTTGTTAATGTACATGTAAGTTGATTTAGTTATTTACATATTCTTGATTTTCAAATGGTGTGTGATCAGTATAAATCAATTTTACAATTGGGAATTACAATAATTGGTTATAAACCATCCCTTTAGTGTCTGGTCCTTTCCATTGTTTTCTGATCACCATCCCTTGCTTCAGACTGGGTGCCCCTCTTGTATTGCCACTCACATTTGGCAGCTTCAAGCACTGAATGATTTTCAGCTCAACTTCACTTGGGTCAAGAATGTAGACTTCAACCAAGAGGAGTGAATACCAAACTTAGAGGAAGAGAATAGATCTGGTAATGGGAAAATGGGAGTGCCTGGGGAAGAGCGAGGATAATCAGAGTCCTCATGAAGCCGGGAAGTGGGGAGGGACATGGGACGTGACAGGGGACAAAAAGACAGTTAGCTTAGACAATAAATAATTGGGTTCAATCAGGAAGTCCTAGTTGGAGAGGAAATAAAATCAAATGCTGCCTTTCTCCCTCATCCCTCTAAATCCCTTTCCCCTGCTCCAACCTGTTGCTAAGGTAACTAGCAGGAGCTGTTAATTAATGTCTCCTGGCTTGCAGCCTGTCTGATCACTCCACCATTTGGCCCTACCCCTTGTCTATTTGATTCCCACCTTTGGGCTCACCCTGGCCTGGTCACATAGGCCTAATCATGTATGCAGGATGGGGAGAGATAAGAGAGGGAAGAGGGCAGGAGAACTAATAAAACCCGAAATTTATTAAAAGGGTAGGACATTCCCACTTGTGATACCAATACCCACGTTGCAGGAATCAGGCGAGAATCTGCAAATGCCACTGGAAGAATGGGAGAAACCAAACTTTATTTTGCACCAGAGGGCCCAGAGGAGATCAGCGTTCCAGATTCTTGAGAACCACTTAGCAGTTTTTCACACCATTTATAGGCTATCGAGTGACATAAATTTTCTAGTCTGAAATGGTACATGCTTATGTACAAGGTTTTTAAAAAAAGATATATGATTGTGTGTAAGAGTGTTTAAGTGGGAAGCATGTTTACAGAGGCATAGTGCCATAGAGGTGAACTGACTCCTTTTACAAAGCCTTCAGTAAATCTGTAGCCTTGGACTTGGAGACTTCACAGGGGTGTTAACACTTCAATGGAAAGTAGTTTGATCCTAGGGAAAGTCAGAGTGAATAGTGCTAATTAGGTTCCCTGAAAATCAGCTAGAAAGGGGACAGGAGAATTCTCCTATTCCCAGGCACTAATTTTCACAGACAGTGTCCTTAGTTTAATTTCTATCCAGGCCTGAGTCAGTTACCCATTACATATGGACAGCAACTATGGTCCCCCTATTCTTCCAGGCAGAAAGAAGTCTGTGTTCCCATTGCTTTCTACAATTGCTTCAGGGTTTCTCTGGTGTTTATTCTTCATATCCAGAAAACAGAACCCATGTCACTCCATCACTGTTCCCAGTGAAATCTATTTTCCTATGCAAATAAGTTCCATTCCTGGGCTATGATAAATGTGCACACAATAAGACTGATCACTGTTGGAATTGTGTTATGTGTGTGGGTAATGTGTTGTAACAGTGGTCCACATTAACCTTTGAATATAGCCCTTGCTTCTCTGCTACTGCACTTATTTTTTAAAATGTGCATGTTTCTTTCTCTTCCTCTCTTCCTGCTTTTCCCTAATCTATCCACCTCCCTAATCTCAGGGGAAACAGGATTACCTTTCTTCCCCATCCTAGGCAGAGTTATCTGTTCCTGAGTACACACCCACCATAGGAAGGAGGTAATCTAGTCTTTGGGGAGGGTACCAGAAGATCTCAGAAAAGACTATCTCTTAAATTAGCAAAGGAATTACAACTCCTACAGAGAAGAAGTGGAATGTAGACTTTGAATCACCCTTTAAAAGCCCCCTGTTCTTGCTGTTAGGCAGAATCATGCCTTTGGGATTGGAGTCCTCTGTGTTTCTCCTTTGGTAGCAAAGCAATAGGCTTTCTTTTTTCTTTCTTCTCAAAACCATGTCCTTATTATTGGATTGGCACTGGGGACATGGACTGCGCTTTCAACAACAAATATGGTGATCCAGATGGGACCTGAGAGCAGCTCTACTCTGGCTTTCTTGGGCAGGCCAGGCTCTCCAAAGACTCCCACTCCATGCTGAGGATGCAAGGTGCTGGCAAACTTGTTGAGGGTGAGTTTGCCTCACTCATGTCAAACCAGAGGAGCTGTTTCTCTGAGTAAAGGGAGGGACTTGGGGCTATCTTGCAGCTTCTGAAGCTTTTGTTTCAGGGAGCTTCTACCTTCGCTCGCTGAACCTGAATGTTAGAGGTTGCTCCGTCATGGTCCACTTTGAGACAAAGGAAACTGAACTCAGTGAGGTCGTGACACCCTGACCAATTGGTAAGTCCTTGGGTGTGCCCATGAGACCCTTGAATCCACACATCAGGTTCATCTTCATGGGAAGAGCTGGTCACTCATTTGGGGGCATCTGTGGTACCACTGGTATAGGAGTTATTATAACTGAAACTTTAGAACCTCGGGATATTTACTCCCTTCTGATCTATTCTATGTTCTGTTTGTTGGGCTTGGGCTTGGGAATTCCCTCTGATTGTCCATTTTGTTTGTATCTATTATTGGCCCTTGTAAGACGTGGTCAGTACTGCATTGATTCTATGGGTAGTTTCTTGGGAAATATCTTGGCTGCTCAATGTAAAGATTCCCATCTGTTGACCTTGGTTTGGGGCTCCTCTCTGGTTGTCTCTCTCTCTATTTCCTTTTTGTACAATCTTGTAATTGCCCTTGGCCTGTCAGAGGGAAAGTGAGTTGAAGAAAGGGCCGCCAAGGAGTCTAAGATAATGTTTTACTGTAATTATCTGGCTTTTTAATAGCTTTCTAGATTATTGTGCGATATTACTGTTGAAGTTGGTCTGTCAAAGGTAAAGTAAGTGGAAGCAATTTGTACATGCAGGTCTGTCTGTTTTAAAGGGTCCCTTCTGTCAGCTCTGGTTTTGGTGATCTTCTCTTATTTGCTTTTATTTGGGGAGGGGGGGGCTCTGTAACTGGCCCTTTAAGACCTGGGCTATGCTGCATTGATCTTACTGGTAATTTCTTGAGCAGAGAGATCTTGACTGCACAAGCCACCTATGGGGAAAACCATGTCTAAGAAAGAGGGTTTGCTGTAACACAATATGACCTTTAAGTGGTTTTTCTGGATTATTATGCAATCTTGACATTGAAGTTGGTCTGTCATGGGTAAAGTATATGAAAGAGATTCTGTATGTATAGGCACTTATGCGGTTGCATGATGAAGGGGTCTGAACCATCAAGTAATGAGTTGACGGTGCCAAAAGGCACAGCCTCTGGTGTGCAAGGACAGCAGGACACCAGAAGAAAGGGTTAAAAAGACTTCAATCTTTTAAACCCAGGGCTGGCACTTCCAGCACTGTCTCAGCCTGGCCTCAGGTGGCTGCTGATCATCTCACTGTGGGTAAAGAACACCAGCTCTAAACCCCGGGGGGGGGGGGGGGTGCGGGGAATCCCAGAAAAGCTCTCTGTGCTGTAGAAAATGGCCAAAGAGAACCTGGCCCCTGCCCTGCCTTTCAGTCCCTTTTACCCCTGGGGAGGAGGCTGCTGCCCACAAAGAATGTGATAGTAGGTTTCAGTGATTTAAGTTTTGACCTGGGGACAGGAATAGTCTCCCCTTTTAGGTTCTAACAGGATACCCCATTTGGCCAGGTGATATTCATCACTGGGGCTGGATAAGATAGCCCATTGTCAATAAGTTATATATGCGATTTTGTGTTACTTTTCATACTGAAATAGGAATTTAATTGTATTTTTGAAAGGCATTAAGGAAAACCTGATCTGTTTAAAGGTGACGTTGTAAAACATGGAAGCATTCTGCTGCTTTTTCCTCAAAAAGAAAGTTAAAATCTCTCTCAGCCTTTCTTTGATTCATGTTTCAGATATGATGTTGTGTTGTGTTGTTTGTCAAGAGCCCGCCTTACCTGAGATAAAGCTCTGCCTCCCGCCTTACTCCATGTTAGAATGGCTCCAAATAGGCTAGACTTCAGCTCATTTAAAATAAGTTGTGTTCAAAAGATTGATTTTTGTTATGAAGATTACTATGATCTCAAGCAGGGAATATATAACTAGGTAAACATTCAAGATTATAAAAGTCATTTTTCTTGGTTCATAGCTGGTATACAAACTGAAGATGTTTTTGCTCTGTTAATTTCAGTATGTATTTTTCTTGTACACTTTATAACTGTTGCCCGTTAGTTTTTTTTTTTTTTTTCAGGGAGAGAGAGAGAGAGAGAGAGAGAGAGAGAGAGAGAGAATTTTAATATTTATTTATTTATTTTAGTTATCGGCGGACACAACATCTTTGTTTGTATGTGGTGCTGAGGATCGAACCCGTGCCGCGCATGCCTGGTGAGCGCACTACCACTTGAGCCACATCCCCAGCCCGCCTGTTAGTTTTTTGCAGAGGTACTGCTTCACACAAACTAACAACAACAAAAAAATCCCTAAATAAACCTGGGTTAATTTGAGATAATAAGCTATCAACTACAGCACAAATATTATATAATGCTGACTTCCACTACTAATTCTAACCCCAATTAAATAAAAGTGGTGTCTGTAAAATTATAGATATTGAAGATATAACCTGTGACTCTCTCATTAAAACTGGTGAAACTGGCTTGCTGGTGTTTAAAATGAAAACCTTGGAGACCAAAGTGAAGAAAGTAAAAGGGCCAAGGAAAAAGCAGCCAATGTTTTGGCTCTTGCACTATAAGGTTGACCAGAACCCAGGGAACCATGGGACCCCTCTCTGGGCTCTGCAATTCTGGTGAGTCACCTGATCTGATCAGGGAGATCTAGAGGATCCCAGAGAACAGGAAACCAAAACCAGTGCACAGTCTCCAAAGAGGAGGGTCATTAGAGATGGAAATGTTCATGATGCTTCCGCAAGAAGCCACATATGGTCATTAGGACCCTTATTCATCCTGACAGATAGAACCACTGGTAGATGAAAGCCAAAGGAGCCAAGAGACTTTGCACACATCCCCAAGGATGATCTCTGAGAATCTCAGCTGACTCTTATGAGTATATAGGAAGAAAGTTAGTTTTGACCAACTTGGTCTTAAACATTGACAGGAGAGTCTAGCCTGAGCACACTCCTACATGGATATTTAAAAGGAATACCAATTTTTTAAAAATGTATATAAAAATGTACACTTATGTCAGCAATACCAAAAGGAAGTAAGGCTGAGAGCTAGAAAGGAAGTGTTTTTATGTCAGAGTGCCTAATAGTAATGATCACAAAGGACTCTAGAGTCACAAATTTGTCCTGAGTTAATTTGAGTCTGATCCGATAGACCTACAAATCTTCCTAACCTCCTAAATCGATAAACTTGATCTGTCCTCATGGTTTTTCAGAAACTGGCTGAAATACTAATTGCTTTGTGACTAATTATTTACAAATAGTAATGCTTTTCTGTCTTATTTAGTGTTGTGTCAGTATGATCCCTGTCCTATGTATGCCTTGTTCAGTCACCTGCCATCTGCTTCTGTGGACCTCTGGACTGTTTTGATGATGAATGTCCTTAACTGTCCACACCCCACCTGATATAGAACAAGGTCTTTGGGTTACTTCTGCCAGCTTCACCCCCTTTCAGTAGGAAGCAGTTTGGAAATGTCATCACATTTTATATTTTTTATTTTATTTTTTGGTACCGGGGATTGAACTCAGGGGCATTTGACCAGACCTATTTTTGTTTTTTATTTAGAGAGATGGTCTCACTGAGTTGCTTTGTGCTGTGCTGTTGCTAAGGAAGGCTTTGAACTCATGATCCTCCTGTCTCAGGCTCCCGAGCAGATGGGATTACAGGCATGTGCCAATGCACCTGGCACATCACCCATTTTGCCATGGAAATGGAATGTAGAAGTTGACAGTGGAGAAATCTAACAGTGATTCACTTTGTGCTTTGAATATAGCCCTTGCTTCTCAGCTACTGCAACATATTTTTTAAAAGGAGATGTTTTCTCTTCCTCTCTCCCATTTCCTCCCTAATTCTTCTCCCTCCCTGAACTTTGGGAAACAAGATTACCTTTGTTCCCTATCATAGGCAGATATATCTTTCTTTGAGTACACACCCATTGCTGAGAGCCATGGCCCAGTCTGTATGGCCCCTGGCATTTTGCCAACAGTATTGGTTGACAGGCGGGGCATTACTATCCGCTTAGGCTGCTACTTTTGAGTTCTGGAGCTACTTTGGAGTTCTCATGGAGATTCCGGGGATTCCCCGAGAGTTCCCATTGGTTGGGGAAGTGCAGGAGGAGGGATTTCCGGGACAGATATTTCCGGCTGCAGGTTCCTGGAGGAGCCACGTGGTTCGGGAGAATTCCCCAGGAGCGTGTGTGAAGTGTTTTCCTGCAGTTCAAAAATAAAGTTTGTTCCTGCTTCAGTGGCTCGTGATTTGTGCCCAGCCAGACTGTGGCAACCCATCATAGAAACAAAATAATCCAGACTTTGGGGATGGTACCAGAAGATCTCAGAAATGACTATCTCCAAAATTAACAAGTGAGTTACAATTCCAACAGAGAACAAGCAGAATGTAGCCTTTGAATCATCCTTTAAAAGTCTCCTGTTCCTGCTGATGTCCAGAATCACAGATTCTGGAAAAGAAGACCCCTGTGTTTCTCCTTTGCTGGCAAAACAATACCTCCCCCTTTTTTCCCTCCATAATACCATGTCCTCTTATTGGACTGGGATTGGATACAGGACTGAGCTTTTGGCAACACAAATTCAATAGATTCCTCTTCGGAACTCCCTTGAACTCTGTCTTCACTGTCCACAGTCCCATTGGCATTCTGATCTTTGGAGCTTCCACCAGAATCAGCCTTTAAGTTCCACTTACAGCAATCTAAAACATTTCCAGTGTATACTGCTAAACATCTCAAAATTCCTCCCACCTACTTATAAAAGCTCCAAAAAAATTGGAATCACATGGTCAGATTATTTACAGCAATGACCCCACTCTAGGTAGCAATTTGTGTTTTAGTTAGCTTTCTTGCTGCTATAAGTAAAAGATCCAACCAGAAAAAATGGCAGAGGAGAAAAAGTTTACTTGAGGGCTCAGGGTTTCATAAGTCTTAGTTCATAGAAGCCTGGCTTGATTCCTCATGGCTCGAGGTGAGACCGAAAATTATGACAGAAAAATGTGTCAGAGGGAAGCTAATAACATGCTGATCAGGAAGAAGAGAGAGACTTTACTCACCAAATACAAATGTGTACCCCAAACCTAAGTCCCCCAGTGCCCCACCTTCTCTAGTTACCACTCAGTAAATCCCATCAGGGGATTTATTCACTAAAGCTCTCACAACCTAATCATTTCTTCACTGAAATTTCTTTCATTGTCTCACACGTGAGTCTTTGGGGGATATCTCACATCCAAACCATAAATGGATTTATTACTTAATGAGTTATTGGGAGGTGGTGAACACTTTAGGAGGTGAGTCCTAGTTGGAGGAAGTAGGTCCATGGGAGTGTGCTCTTAAAGGATATATTTTGTCCCTGTCCCATCCTCTTACTCTGTGCTTCTGGGTTGCCATGATGTGAGCATCTTTGCTCTACAATGTGCTCCTTGATGTGATGCTGTCATATCACAGACCTGGAGCAATGGAGCCAGTCAACTGTGGACTGAACTCTCTAAATCTTTCCTCCTTAAGTTTGCTCAGGTATTTTTTCATATCCATAGGAAGCTGACCTAAATGATGACTCCATATCTGAAGTGGACTTCTATGTTTCATTCAACGGGAGATCCAAAAGGCCCATCAGAGGCTAGGAGTTAGTGATCCAATAGGGTATAATTTGTGGCCACTGATAATTTTTATGGCTAAAGTCTGAGAGGATCAGACACCTTTTTAGGAGTCTCTGGTTGCCCCAGGTTCCATCCTGCATGTGTAAGAGGTGCTGGCCTGTGGTTTCATAGGGTTGATGGGAATCATTGACCCCCAATGTCATGGCTTGTGCCCCTGCATGATGCATGGTCTATGAAGCTTGCTGTTGATGGGGGCCCTCATTCAAAAGTCACTGTCTCTTAGGTAACCTTAATTAAAGGATCCAGAAAACATCCAGAATTGACACAGTGGGTCAAGCATTCCTACTAGCTATTCAGCTTCTTGGTCATTGATTGAGGCTTTCAAAGGCAGCAATGATTGTTTGAATTTATCAGGAAATTTCTTTTAGTGACTAGTGGAGATGACATTTGGATCAAAATTTGTTGGCAGGTCGGGAATTTGTTGGGATTGATGGCTCAACCTGCATGTGTCACGGTGTCTGTGACCATATGTAGGGGCATGGACAACTTGTTTGTGATTTTGGCTGACAGGATGTCATTTAGATTGAGGATGAAAGAACTTGTTTTGTGGGCAATGGGTTTATTGCAGATCAAGTCCTGCTCACTGCTGCTGTATTGTAGGGGAACTAAAGTCTCCTGAAGGAAGTACAGTGGAAGTATATTCCAGGCTGTTTCAGGTAAATGAAAATTGGTCCTGATCCTCATCCAGGAAATGGATGGAAAAGAAGACATTAGCCAGATCAATAAGAGCTTACTTGTCTGCAGAGTGGACCACCACCACCACCACAGTGAGGACCATAATGTTGAGTATCATAGGTGGCCTCCTCAGAAAGAGAAACAAGGACAACTACCCCATTTACAATAGCCTCAAAAAAAAAAAAGAAAGAAAGAAAGAAAGAAAGAAAAAAAATTTGGGAACCAACTTAACAAAAGAGGTGAAAGATCTATATAATGAAAATTCAGAACCCTAAAGAGAGAAGTCAAATAAGACATTAGAAGATGGAAATATCTACCTTGACATTGCATAGGCAGAACTAATATTATCAAAATGACCATACTACCAAAATACTACACAGATGTAATGCAATTCTGATCAAAATTCCAATGACATTCCTCATAGAAATAGAAAAAGCTGTCATGAAATTTATCTGGAAAAAGAAGAGACCCAGAATAGCTAAAGCAATCCTTAGCAGGAGGAGTGAAGCATGTGGCATCACTATACCAGACCTCAAACTATACTATAGAGCAAGAGTAACAAAACCAGGATGGTATTGGCACCAAGACAGACTGGTAGACCAATGGTACAGAATAGAGGACACAGAGACTAACCCACAAAATTACAATTATATTAGACAAAGGTGCTAAAAACATTCATTGGAGAAAATATAGCCTCTTCAAAAACTGGTGCTGTGAAAACTGGAAATCCATATGCAACCAAATGAAATTAAACCCCTGTCTCTCACCATACACAAAACTCAACTCAAAATGGATCAAGGACTTAGGAATAAAACCAGAGACCCTGCATCTAAAGGAAGAAAAAGTAGGCCCTAATCTCCATCATGTGGGATTAGGCCCCAACTTCCTTAATAAGACTCCTTTGGTGCAAGAATTAAAATAAAATCAATAAACAGGATGGACTCAAAATAAAAAGTTTCTTCTCAGAAAAGAAACAATCTGTGCGTTGAATAGAGAGCCTGCATCTTGGGAGCAAATATTTACCCCTCACATATCAGATAGAGCATTAATCTCTAGGGTATATAAAGAGCTCAAAAAGCTAAATACCAGAAAAATCAAATAACCCAATTAATAAATGGGCCAAGGACCTGAACAGATACTT